GGGAGGGAGGGAGGAAGGAAGGAAGGAAGGAAGGAAGGAAGGAAGGAAGGAAGGAAGGAAGGAAGGAAGGAAGGACGAAGGAGCAGCTGTAAGAGATCTAAATTGTGAAAGTTACTAGTGACTGAAAACAGGCTTCTTGCGGAGAGCACGTTGGTGACTCCCAGCTCTGCCCACAGTTCTGGACACAGCAAAAATGTTATGTTCAACAGGAAAGTGTTGAGAACAGCATTTTGGCAGCCTGGCTCCAGGAGAGCTCTGCCTGCTGCTAACACGGTCACAGCACAGCCACAACAAAGCAGACAGTATATGCAGGAGCTCAGATGAACTCCAATAAAACCTCCATGCCCTGCCGTATCATCACTCATTTTATTTTTGCTACATATGCCAGAGAAAACTCCTTTCTGAGGGATTTGGAACTCAAGACTATCTCAGTGATGATGCTGAAGTTCGAAGGTGTGTGATAAAGTGTAGCAGGTAGTTTCTGATTGTTTTAAGAAGAAACCATCTTTGTGAGTGTGTGGAGGAAAGATCCTTCTTGTACACCATACTAAAGGTTCCTTCATACTGGTATGTTATTGGATAATATCATGAAATGCCTTAGGTTTTAATACAACAGAAATACACCATTACAAAATGTAGGGACTGGGAAAAAGAAAAAAAAAAAAAAAACCAAAAGATTCCATGACTCCTACTGAACTTCTCATTTTGCCTTCATCTCTTATCAAAGTTAACAGTTGTGACAGTGCCACTAAATAGGGGTGACTAACTCAAGCAGAGCAGGTAGCAAATGCATTTATTCATTATTTATCCCAATGATCATCCAAGCAGGATTTGGCTTATCAATTAACTTTCTTTTCATTTATGTTTTCTACTCTGGAGAACAGCCCAGTACCGAAAGGGTGTTATCCAAAAGGGAATATCTGTACAAATAGGGGCAGCTTTCGTGCTGCTATATTTTGTTTGTAAGTATCAAGGTATCATTGATTTTTCTGTTACATAAAATTTGCTGTTTGCTTAGATCACAGCTGGAAAGTATAAACAAGCTTCAAAGCACAAAAAAAAATTGTAGGAATTTATCTATTTCTTCTTTTAATTGAAAAATTTTTAAGCACCATAGCACAACACAATATATTGTACCATTCCTATTAAGCAGCAACAAAATTGCTTTGCTATACAACAGTAAATAGGCTTCAAGAAAAGTAATCTAATTTTTATCTAATTCTAGTAATTTGATTTTATCAAACCTTAGCTATAGCTGTGGAAATCGTAGTCATAGTGCTGAAACGTTTTGCTTTGCAAATCGCCATAAAATCAACTGCTTCACACTCTTTGTTACTTTTGACATAAATGTGAATACAGTGAGAAACAAAAATGCTTTAAAGTACCGTAGCCTACCAAAACACAACTTTGTATGTTTCCACACATATACATGCACATACTTGCAGGATTTCTGAATGTGTGAAACAACTACTCTGCACCTCACATAATAAGAGTATAGAAAGAGCCTGGTTCCTCGTGCGCCTGATGTATACAGCTCCCTCTGCTATAGGAACTATGACTTTTTTCTTTTATCCTTGGAAAAAGACATTTGCTACGGACATTTGCACGTATTTGGTGCTTGTGTGGGCAACTTCTCTCTAATTCTTACAAAGGGAACTTCCCCTCACCAGGGGGCTTGACAAGGGGTAAGAGGAAAGCTCCTACTTGCCAGATGGAAGACATTCTGTTGGTTGTATTTTATTCTGCTTCTAAAAGTGGGACACAGGAGAGAGATTCAGGGTTTTCTTGCCTATTCCAAACTGGCCAAAGGGCCAAGGGACTTCCCCGGGGCCCCGTTCTGAGGCCTCCTGGTCCCTGGGAGCAGGGCCCCCGCCGGGGCGGGCAGCTGCCTCCCCGCTCAGCCCTTCGGGGTCCTCAGCTGCTCCCTGGTGTGGAGCCGGAAAGTCCACAGAACTGCAAGAACACATTAAAGCTGTAGGAAATACCCTTGTAGACCAGGTTAAGGCTGATACAGGCTGCAAGCGCCACAAGGTCCTGAAACAGGAGATCCAGTTTTAAAGAGGTCTTCAAGGTGCAAAACTCAACGGCTTAAGTAATAAAAGTCCCACTATATTAAGTCTAACATCTCTCCCTACTCAAAACAGTAGTATTATTATTTGAAAAGTATCATGAAAAATCGTTCTTTCCAACAGAAGATACTTGACACAGCCACTTTCCACCCCAATGTCCTAAACACTGCTGTTTTGGGTTTCTAAGACAATTTTTCACTTTCCACTACTAAACAGTTCAGTGCTTCATAAAGAACCACAGCATTACTTCCTATTCAAATTCTGAAGCTATTTATTAGAAATCAAGACAATTATTTTTACAGGATGGGAAAAGGATCAGGCAAATAGTAAATAGGAATGTGAAAAACTTAAAAAAAAATGAAGTTTACAGAACTTCAAAAGACTTTTTTTGCTAACAGAGACAGAGAGATGATTTCTGGAATGAGCCAAGTGATTTCTTTAAATCAGTACTTTAAAAGTCTTTTTCCCTCCCATCACGCTAATTAGCAAAGAACTTGAAGAAAAACATGTGGACTCCATTTTATGGAGAGTGGGTAATTTATTCACTTGGTTGTAACAGGTCACATCAGATGCAGGCGAAGAACACACATTTGGCTCCTCACCTCTGTAGTATCCTATGGGCTCATGTATTTAACTACTAGCGTTCGTATACGTATTTTACTGATGTATAGCACTATATTCATGAATATTCATGAGGGATAATAAAACCATTCCTATTCAACAACAGTGTCATATAACAAACAGATTATTGGCTAGGTGTAACTCTGAAAAAGACAGGAAGAATCCTGCATTTTGCAGGATTGAGCCCTCTGTAACATTGGTTTTTATTTTTCCTTTACAAATGGCACAAAGAGCTCCGATACACTGAAATATGTCAGATAGCCCTCACTACACCCTGCTACCTTGATAAAGTGTTCTCAATTAGAAATGCATTACAATTGTCACAGCTAAGCAATTTCTTTGAGAATAAAGGGATGGATTCTGTGTGATTTCATGGAACAAAAAAGACAGTATCACAGAAAACCTAACACAGAAAAATTAAATTGTCAATTGATATGTCTCATAGTAAATGAAAAGATTTCATTTCTACTCTAAAAAAAAAAAACAGGAATAGTCATGCAAGGGCTACACAGAAACAAAGATATGTATGCCTCAACATATAAAGGACTAAGTTTATCATACAAAAAAATCTTTAGTCCTATATATCTTTTTTTTTTCCTTTTTTTTTTTTTTGTGAAACAGCAGTGTTCAAATATAAATTGGATTTTGAGAGGGCTTTTTTTCCCTTGCAGCAGACAGTCAGAAATCCTGCTGATGGGCCGATTTACAAAAAACAGATGATGTCATTTTGATAAAGCTCTATTTAGCTTCATATACCCAAGTGTTTCAGACAAATAGGCTGGAAATACATTCAGAATTTCTGCTTTCTGTGAAGCATTTAGAAAGGTCAAGATCAAAAAGACAGAAAGGAAACAGACAAGAAATCGAAGTACAGTAACTATTAAGTTACTGGTTTAACACTAACCATTGTGTGTATTCTGTGTTGTGCACATTGGTATAACATACACTGGAGTTGGTTCTTGACTGATAATTACATCAACAGACACAATATAGGAAGCAAAAGAACATTATTTATTAAGCATTATTACATTGACAGATTCCAATTTTAAAAGGAAGACCATTTTATATTAATTCAAAACTATCCTGTTAAGCATATATATTTAAACTCTAGTTTTACATACACATAATGAAAGAAAACTTTATTTTACAAACAGCTATTTTAATAGGCTTTATGAAAAACGTTTAAAAATAACTGCCAAAATATCCATCTCTAAATATACAAAATCCCCTTGCTGTGCTGAAGATTTCTTTCTCAAAAGCCAAAAAAATATTTAATTCAACAGCTGATTCCACATCGATCCCCACTGAAAGCAGTAGTGATATAAAAATGTAAAAGCACTGTACAAAGTAAATAAGTACAGCTTTTGTAGGTCTTAATAATTCACATACTTGTATTTGTTTTAAAAATGTTTTATAAAAACTGCTTTTATTAAACTTAACATCCTTTCCTATCTGCAGAAAAAAAAAGTAGCCACTAAAATTATCCCCGGCTACTAAAGCTTCTCCTTTTCTTTGGGAAAAAAATAATACAGTGGATTTTACATTTGCTACTGGATTTCCTAGAACTTGAATCTTCTCCTATACCATTGGGAATTTTACCACTGACTTCAGTGGAAGCAGGACTGAAAGCTATCTTCAGCATTTAACTGTGCAACTCCTCTTAACCTCACTTGATCTCCCTGTTTCACATTGTAGAACTGACACAAAACTTGTAATACATTAACTGACGAAACCATAAATAGAGCACTTGAACTTAGTAGGTTGATGTATGGGCTAATCTGCTGTAAAATCAAGTGTCCAAAAAAATGAAAACCAGTTTAATAGGCTTGAAGAGATGCGATCTTCAAATGGTGCATCATGCTGAATGCTCTTTAACCAGCTGTAACCTGTTGGGGTCTTTGCATCACATCTGTCTGTGCATGTGCTCGTATGTGTCTGTGTGCGACTTCACAGCATCCTCTATAGCCCTTTTTGGCATTTTTTCTGGAACGAGCTTTTCAGGAACATGCGGTATCCCGGGTCATCCACATATTCATTCTTAAAACGGGAACTCAATACTCTCTGCCTCTTCTTTTCTCCCTGAATTATATCCGCTCCATAAAACGTATCTTCAAATCTCATGTTAGAGGCTGTAGACTAAAATGGGACATTAATTACACATTCAGTTTCATACAGGTCATCGCACTCTGATGTATTCTAGGAAAGTTACATGGAAATACATCTATATTTCATTACATTGCTATCAAGTTAGCTGTAATTTTGCTTATAAAGCCATACTAGCATTTTCAGCAAAATGCGTCCATGTTAAATACGCTCTTCAGTGAATTTTCTTTACTGCTTAGCTTTTACATGTATGTTATTTAATTCTCTAGATATACCCTTTTCCTTAGAACCAGGTGACTAATGCCAGGAATCTTCCATTCCCTCCAGAGACGAGGGATCACTCCCACCGAGGGTTAAGAAGAGCTACCCGGAGGTGGTGCCATTGCTCACCCGGCCCATTCCCAACCGCACCAGCTCCGTTTTCCTCAGGAAGTTGTAGGCGTAGGGCACCGTGAAAAGGGCTCTGCCCATTGCCTAATCTGCAAATAGGAGTTACAGGCTCAGGTTAGAGCACCTGGGCATCAATGGAAACAAAATAGTAATGGCAAACTGCAAGCCAATTTAGGGAAATTAAAAAAAAAAAGAGAAAGCAGAAATTTTGGGAGGAGTTCCCGATATTGGAATCAATAGTAAAACTCCCAGATTTAGAAAACGCGTGATTTAAAAAGTGTCACATATTTCAAGAAAGGAAAGGAATATTATAAAATACCTTTAAACTTCACCATCTTCAGCACAGAGGTGAAGGCTAAGCAGAGAATTTAAAAAATCCGAAGGAATCCTAGGAAATCATGCAGAGGTCTGAGCACAGGCTGGGGTTTGTTTTATTTAGTTGACTAAATTTAATGTTTTTAAACTACACTTAACTCCCATAAAAAGTTAATGGTGTCGCACACAAAAATAAAATATCGATCTATAAAAATGCCATTTTAAAAAGAATAGCATAAACCTAGCTATATCTGTATTGTTATTCTTAGTGAAATGCAACAGTAAAATAGATTTACAGAACATCTAGTTAATTATAAATGCCTTCTACAAATAGTCTGTAAAAACAATAAATGGTAATGGAACCTTTTCTGAACATAATGAAAAATCCCATAATGAAAGAGCCAGGTGGCTCATTTAATATTTTTAAAACCATCTATCTCAACCCTAGATGGTTAGGACACTGTAAGATGAGTGCACTTATCCCAAAGAAATTGACAGAGCATCTTACTCAATAATATTTGATCTGGCACCTCTGCTTAGAAAGAGCACTCATAATTTTGCTCAAATTGAGAGAACAGAGCATCCTCCTGGGTGAACATCACCGCAGCGAGCTGACAGCCTCATGTGTCTTCATCTCTGGTGCCCTGCTGTCCTTGCTGCCCCTTCCCCTGACCCACGAGCTTCTGACATACCCCGTGTCCACCCGGGGATACCTGGTGGGACCTGACTGCAGGGACACATTGCTGATGACGGCAAGAGAAGGGGCAAGAGGCACCGAAAGTGAAGGTCAGCCTGAAATCTGCTTCAGCCACCTCTGCCCCTCCGTGCAATGCCGTGTTTAGTCCATGGCATTCATCCAAGCAGGATGCCCCAGGACATACTGTAGTGGATTAGATGTACAACATCAATCACAAGGACAGGTAGCAGCAAATTCCTGTCTCTTCTGCCAGCAGAATATCAGAATTTGGCCCTGTGAATCTCACTTCTTTTCCAAATGTCATATATTTGAACAGCTATCTTGCATGTGTTGTTTGAAACTGCAGGAAACCGAGAAAACATAGGGAAGAGTTGGCTTTAAGCCAAACACTACTGAAAGGATGGTGAGTCCAGACATTGATTTGATGAGTTCTGATCAGGTACTTACCTTCCTAGGACAAGTTAATTGCATTTTTATTAAATTCAGTGCTTCCAAAATCACCAAGTTCTGAGCACACGGGAAGTTTAAAACAGCATTATGCATATTTCATAAGCATACATTAAAAAAATGGTACATCTGTCAATTCAAAACAGTTTCCTAACTTGATCCTTCATGATATGACAGATGTTCTACCAAGATGCTCCCTTCACGAAACAAGGGAGCATATATCTAGCATATAATAATGATATTGCTATATCATTATTTTATCTGATAATAGCAGTTATTTGTACTGGAAGAACAACTGTTTGTACTGTCACCTGTATATATATGTGTTAATTGTTGTGCTAATTTAGCAAGCCATATTACTTTAAAATAATTATCATGAGGATCACTAAAATAATATGAATCTTTGTCTGTTTTAAAGGGAGGATGCAGAAGGGCGGCCAGCCTTACTGCCACTTTAAATACATAAATACCAACAAGGCATCATCTGCAAATACTCACAAAACGTGCTTTTACTCTCTTAGGCAGCTCTTCATCTAGCGTGTAGATCTCTTCTCTCTTCATTGCTATTTGCGAACCATCTTCAAACTCAACCTAATTGAAAAAAAGGGGAACTTAAAAATACAGGAAGTTTCTGAGAATATCTCTGAACAAACACAAACGTGCAAATACTGAAGATTTATATGCAAATATTTTGTTATCTGTTTTAGAAAGGTACAGTTAGGATAAAAGAGAAAAAAAGTAATTTCTGATAAATTACAACCCAGTATAACCACTACTCAGTCTAAAGAGCAAAAATACTTCATGATCAACAGTAACATTCAACATATTGAAAGTTTATTAGATTAAAGAATCCAAACAGTAATAGCAGACAACACTATTTTGTAGGAGTGGCACATTAAAATAGCTATTAAATAGTTTCATGTCTTTTTTAATTTCCCTTTTTTCACTTATTTCTAACAAATAAAAAAATAATTTTAACATCCTATGCTTCAAGGTTGAGGAAGACCATGTCAAAAGAAAGAAAGTATGAGTGACAACTAAGGAAATACCAGTTAACAGAATTTCATTGAATCTGATGGAATTTCTTTAAAATGCTCTGTTCAGAAGATGAAAAGCTTTATCATGCTTAGGTTTAGATTTAATCCAACATGAACCCCGTTAGCAGAAAATGAAAAAGGAAATGTAACTAGGTGTGGGGAATGTTAAAATGCTGAAGCTTTGAAGCATTTATACCTTTTCAGTAGCTGCTGACTTTTTTTAATACTTCATCTAACAATAGTGAATTTCATCTATTATCCATGACTGTAGTTTCAGTTCCTACCGAAACTGTAGTTTAAAAAAAAAGAGTTTAGCAAAAAGTTAAAAAAAGTCCCATCCATAGGCATCTTTAATGAGACCACTTGAATGACAACAGACTTAGACTGGAAGGATAAGAATAAACATTAACTTCTCAAAAGTATTATCATAGACAAACATGAAAAATCATGTATTTGAACTCGTAAATTCACTGAGTTTTGCAGGTTCAAAGTAAAACCTTGCCATGAAGTTTTAAGCTACTACTTTTAAATATACTGAATAATCTTGGATTAATCGTGAACAGCTGAAAAAAAAAAATGGCATATCCATTACCAACAGTCAGGGTAGACATCTATAAGCTATTAACGTATTTCAAAGCAGGATTTTTAACAGCAATTTAACAAAGAAGCACAAATCTGGAATGCATTCAAAATCCACCCAGCACAGAAGTGCAAAGGAATCTTTGCTCCTCTCTGCTCCCCAATGGGCCCTAAACCCACAGACCTAGTCTGTCAGTACTATGTTACAGAACTTGAAAGTCACTTCAGCTTAAACTTGCTTAGGCAAATGACAACAATGCAGCTATTTTTCACCAGGGCATAGGATGCCCCTTATGTTACTTGTGTTCCTTGCTACATAAAACATTTGGCAATATATTTTTTGCATCCCTGCCAGAAGAAGTTGGCAGGAAATAATCTCTGATGACTCCATGAGATCAGAAAATCACTTCCTGAATGGGCAATCTTTTTGGTTTCACTCATACTGCAGCAAGAGGCAACTGCTTCAAATCAGAGAATCTGGCATGTGAGATATATTGAACATTTACAATGAAGAGTAAATGGAGTTTCTTAAGCTATATTTTAGCATGCCACACTGGAAATAAATTTGCAGTACTGTTAAAGGCAAACATGAAATTTCCAGACTTTCAGCAGTATCATGATTCATGCAAAATGTTAACCCACCATCTCTAATAGCTCCAATTTAATACAGACTACAGATATTATGCTCAAAACAGTAATTTTATCTAGTGTTTTTTTTTCACTTTTGTTATTGTACTGTAGTTTCTGCAGCATGTTATCTCCACGAGATCTTTTCATCTCAGGACATTATAAACTAAAGGCTCAGCTGAAATTGCTAGAAAGCAATTAATAGGGTGAATGAATGATTCAGTCATCTCCTAGAATTCTGAAGCACTTTGAAAACAATCAAGTCCATGATTCTGAAAATCACCATGTCACTGAAAATGATCACAATACAGAAGAAAGATGCCAGATCCTAACAATTCATCTTAAGGCAAACACATGCTACACTTAGCATGTATAAATTCCGCTTTGGAATTGTGAGGCAAAACAGTTTCGCAGACCTCCAGCTAGATAACAGGAATGCTGGATCACTGTGTTGGTTCCTGCATGTAGAGCTGCCATCATGTTCTCTGCAAGCAGGTCACAAATGTGGTGTTACGGTAGCTTCCTACCCTGTCCTGAAGATTGAAATACTTGTTCCAGTGCCATCTGGACTCCCTCTAATAACTGCATTTCCCCTAGGGCAGGGGTTGCTACAAGGCAGCTTACTCGAGGCTCCCATCATTGTTATGCTGAGGAACTCGGAACCTTTCTGAATCTCCTTATGCTAATCCATTTTCCTTAAATTAATCCGATTTCCTTACACTGTGTTAGAGGTCAAAAATAAGACTAAGAAGTTCCGTTTTGCTACACTGGTTTTTTCCCATATGAGAGATAACAACAACATTCATCTAATCTACCTTATTCCTCGGAAGACAAAATGTTTAAAAGATTAAATGCTTTGGAGATTAACATAACTATAGAACAACCATCTTTATATTTTATAAAGAACTTTTCACCTTCACGACATAATACAGCCATTAAACATAAGGGAAGAGGTAAGATTTAGAGACTAGCTCAAGAGATCAGGCACTTAAGGACTCGAGTTCGATTGCAAGTCATTGGCAAAGTGAGAAGGTCACTGCAGCAAGTCATTTAGCCTCTCTGTGCCTTAATTTATCTACAGATACAACAGTAAATTTGCCATTTTTCTAGAGTAATGTGAGGCCCTCAGATGAAAAGAGTTACATAAGTGAAAATGATTATATATATATATGAATGAAATGTACCTAGGCTCTTGTTCTTTCCGAAGTGCTATTATTACTGTGATTGTTTTATTGCAGTTTCGACCATTCAGTCGGGTGCTCAAAGCTGCTGACTGATTTTTCTCAAAGGCAAGCATATAAAAAACAACGATTATGTCTCTGAAATCAAAAATCAGCTTTTTGCCCTTGCTGACGGTGCTCTGTTCCCTAGTTCGTTTGCTAAGGGTAAAGCATGCCTTAGATTTTGTGTTAATTAATATGGAAGTGCCATCAGATGAATAAAAATGGGGTTATTTGCACTCTTCTTTTCACTGTCTTTCATCCTATCCTTTTTATGAAATGCCCAGGGCTGAATAGTCACATGTCACTAATTACATTCATGTAATTAAATAATTACCTGGCATTAAATAAAAGTAAATAACCTAGCGAAAATACCAAATGTCATCTTGCCACCTTTATGTACCACCTGTTCCACCTTGTAAAATGAGGACTATTGACTAATGCTGAGCTCTTACTAAACAAGCCATTTTCTTCCTTTCATAAGAACAAATGAAACCACAAATCCCAAAGAGCGTCCCATGCTTATTAATGTTTCAGACAGCTGTTGGTGTGGGCACATCAGTATTTATCAGTTACAACAGCATCCACCCGCCTGCCTTCTGCAGCTCTCAAGCTGTGGCTCATCACTCCAGCACTGCAGCAGGACAGGAAACCCACGATAAAGACATCTGGGAAAGAGGCACTCGGTAGTAAACACAGACACCCACCTGGTACATGTGAGCTATGTTGGTTCCCAGGTACTTTGCACCGTACAGCTTTCCATCAGGCCACTTCACCTGGACAACCTCTCCCTCGGCTGGTGGACCCAGTTTTAGGCAATCTCTGCTCTATTTACAGACAACAACAGGTAGTAAGTCAGTGAGTGAGATACTTCATCGGGAAACTAACAGCAGCAAACTCCTTTATTTCAGCTGGATAATTGGATAAGAGTTATTACTACGGGTGTTTCAAGTTTTATAGTTTTGTGAATAGACTAGCATCCTGCTAGCCTTTATAAAAAGGAAGATAGTGACCATAGAAACCCTCCCTTAACAGCTTGATGTTGCACTGGTAGGACAACAAATGCCTAAATTAGGCAGCTATCAGCAGCTGTGCTGCATTTCCCCAAATTCATTTCTATCACTTCTACTACATATTTAAGTAATTTATATTTTGTTAACAGCAGTGCATTTTTGCTAACTTTACTGCCTGAAACATAGTCATGACTGATTAAACTACAAATGGTGACAATGGCAATGAATGCTTTCCTCAGTTGATGGAGGAACATGGAGACTAAGTGTTTATGGCAAAGCACTTTTTTTTTCTTTTTTAAGAAGATATCAGGCAGTTTTTTCCTGTGTATTAACTTGGATGCTGGCAGAGAAACAAGCTGTCTTTTTGACTATGTAAGGAAAATACATAAAATTGGATTATACTCTCAGTAATTCATCAGTGTTTAGCTTCAGCTTCAAACAGTTTCCATCCACATGTAAGCATAAGCAATAGGTTTGACACAGTATTGGGTTGTTTCTGTGCATTTGAAGCCTGTGAGGGAAGGAAAAGGCAAAGATACTTACCGTTAGCTTTCAAATGTAGGCCAGGGGCTAGGAGATACTGTGGGAAAGCACACTGGTTTGCAGGCATGGGTGCGTATTTTAGAAAGCACCCTTAAGAAGCACGTTACTTGCAGGAACAAAACGGAGGGCAATTGCAGGAGCTTGCTGCGTGTATAGGAGCAGCACATTTCATGCTCACTGCCTCACATCCCTCTCCTTTGCACCAAGCAGCCCATCTGCAGAGCACACCAACCTCAGACCCGTTGCAACAGCAGTCCCCGTCAGGAGCAGAAAAACTCATGGCCTTAGGCTTTCTGATGAGGCTACTAGTATATGGTATTACCTCAGGCTGCTGCAGCACTACTGCCATTTTTGAAGTCTCGTAGCTAATTATTATGACAAAGAACAGAAAAACTGAGAACAAAAACATGCCAGGAGTGACAAAAAAGAGGTAATAATCCTTTTTAATATTACCTTGTTACCATATCAGATTAGTCAATGCAGGCCTTATAAACTGATTTTAATCATCTTAGTTTCTGTAAATTAATTTGATCCAAACCTTGAGAAAAGTAATGAAAAGCTGGACTTTCACAGAAACACGTGTTCTTGCGGATCAGATGCCCTCGAGGGCCCCTGTGGCCCCTCCGGACCTTTGGCAAATGGACAGTTCTACACTATGACCTGCTTGTCAAAAATGTATCCTCTCAACCTCATCATCTACTCAGTGAGTCTACCCCCTTCTAGTAGCTGTCATTACTGCACTACCCCTCTCTTCATCACACAGAGAAGGGAAGGAAGGGCTACTGCCTGATTTTCAGCAGTAGAATAATTTAGTGTTTTATGCAAAGATTGTGGTAGGAAAGGACTGTCTTTGGTCTGTGACTACATATATCAGCCAAAGTTAATTTACAGAGGCTCTTGTCTTGACAGTAAGCTAGGTACTGAGGTAAACCAGGAAAGAAATTACTGACATAGCCCAAGTGGGGAAAAAAAAAATCATTTTCTTTTTCAGAGTGTTTTTTCCCCATCAGTGAGAAAGGGAAGCAAATAAATGAAAAAGATCAAAAGGCTGTTGTAAGGAAATTAATATCACTTGAAAACAAATAGTTCTTTTTCAGTTAAATGTATGAAAAGTAAGAAGCTCTCAAAAAGAAAAAAAAAATCCCTGAATACTGGGAATGGACAAAATGCTGACCACTGAACATGGCAGCAGAATTAAATTTTATTAGCCCTTATTTTCTGCAATTTTTTGCTTTCAATAATCAATTTATAATTCAAAGTTTGATCTTTTGGGGGCTTAAATGGAATATTACCATTCCAAATCTCATTCACTGTCTCGGGCGAATGAGAAATATGATTGTTGAAGGAGGGAGTAAATTAGTAGATGCAAGATTGTGTACACTTAATATCATAACAATAACATTGTTCATTATCCTTCAAGAATTTATTTAAAAAGAAGCAGCGAAATCTAAGATGAAAGTGTAGCCTGTAAGGCATTTTGGATAAAACTAACTGCAAGAACATATTTAAAATCGTTGCTAGTAAATGGTCCCATTCAACATGAAATAATGCAAATATCAGGTCATCGAGCAAATTCATTGAATCACATGGTTCTGGTTAATTGTTTTGATGATAGCATAAAAAGTAATCCCACCCTGATTCAAAAGAAGATAACACTGTGATGATGAAGGACCCAGAATCGATCCTCCCAGCGGACGATGCAGACTAATACATCTGGTCCTAAGAGCTGTATTTTGCCTCCTACTCACACTATGGCATGAGCATTGTGTGGAAGCTCTCGTATCAGGGAGAAAATCATTCTCCTCTTGATCAGATCAGAACATTTTTTGCAGAAGATTATTAACCCCCCCTTCTTACAGCTGTTCTTCTACACTGGGCTTAACAGCGAAGAGGAGAATGAACCACTATATAAGAAGATTTGCCACTATCTGAAGCGGTAAGCTACTATCTGAAGACCCTCCTACACAGCTGATGAATATCCCTGGCCATGCGTTTGCCCTGAGAAGAGTCCTAAAACGTCCAGATAGGTAGAGCTATTAAATGAACACCAAGATTTCGTTTTCAGTTAATACAAAAATAAAGGTGGAAAAATGAAAAGATACCGACAAAAAGCTGTACCTGTATTTGCGGTATACAGAATAAAGTGGGAACATTGCCTGTGAACAGTTTGTTGAAGTTTACTCCTCTTTACCACTAGCCTATCTGAAGAGGGATGAATTTTCTCCTTGAGGCTGCACTGTTTCATGAACCTGAGGTGTTTATTCGTGAGTTGGCATATTTTGTAAGACATCTCCTTTAACATGCACAGTAGCCTCTTCCTGTTGTGTGCCACTCCATCTTTCTGGAACTTGTTAAGTCATTTCCAGGTCCACCATATGAAAACATTCATCTACATCATTCGCAAACTCACAAGATGAAGCAAACAGCTTTCATCAAGCATTAACCAAAGGAGTAAACATCATCAGATGGCACCCATTTACATCAGCAAGCGGTCTACCCTGCCAACTTCTATCACGTGAGTAACCTCAGTAACTTTACTTTCAGCAAAGCTAAGAGGATGGCTTATCTGTGTAACTGACAGCAACAGTGCTGATCCCAGTTATTTTTCAGATCTTTGTTTTAAAATATATTCTAAATAAAAGACCTTTATTTGTTTGGACTATCTTCTAATTGCAGCATTTTTCTCAGTATTGCTTACTAAGAACTAATCTTTCCACCGCCTAAACATTCCTAGGTTTTACTTGTTGGTTTGGTTCTGTTTGCAAAACAAAGCACAATATCGTGCACTGTTTATTCAAACTCTTTTCAAGTATGATATAATGGATGTGACCAAAACAGGGCTAAAGCGGTTAAGTTTGGCTCTTTCAACAGGCTTTGTGAGCTAGAATATGCTTTTAACATAATTTGGCAATGAAAATTTTAGTTGCCTATATTTTAGACATTTGAAGTCGACCATTATGAGATATTAAAACCCTCTAGGAATACATCTTCCGAGCATTACACCACAGTCTTGCACGAAGACCATGCAAAACCCCCTGTTGCTGTACTGCTGCTGTTTAAATCCAAGGGTTCTTGAATTCCCTTGTGCTTGTCTCCAGCAGCTCAGCAAGGAGGGACACCAAAAACGCAGAGGTAAGCAGCGACCAGACCCCTAACATGCCATGTGAGGCAGACCCAGCACATACTGTTCCCTCCCTGACTCACAGTGTTACACATTTTCAAGGGCTATGGTACAATATTTTAATCTTCTTCATGGAAGACTGAAAGCTGATAATCTAGCCCTGAGGTTTTAAAGATCAAAGAGAAATAGATACCAAGAAGATGAATTAGAGCTAAATCATACTTTTTTAATTACAATAAACCTGGCCTTCCTATCCTGCCTATCTCCTTTTTTATTTTTACTACCGCTCATCATGTGTCTGTTTGTAATTTATACATAGTTTTAAAAGAAATTATGACATAAAAACTGCCCATTTTCCATCATCTGTCACTTTGCTTAAACCCATAACAATGGCTCAGACTTCAGTATCAGTCAATCTAACCACTATTTGTGTGGAGCGAGACATCATATTGACTCATCTGAACTTTTATAATTAGAAATTCCACAGTTTCCCGACAAATAACTTAAAAAAGCACACGTGGTCTCCAAAACTGATGAACCAATACCATTATCCTCTTCTTCTGGGAACACAAATTCAATAATAAGCAAATAACATCCTGGAATTAATCACGGAATTCATGAAACTTTTATGGAAACAGCTACTTCAGACAGCTTTAAAGGAGATGTAAAAACTGCATGTGATTTTCACTGATAGGATTTCAAGTGAAGAGTCCCTAGATCCATAACCTGTATCAAAATGGTCGGCCTGATCATTGGGTTTAGCACAGATGCAGTCTCCTCACCAACTCCAGTTCAACTGCAGACACCATTTAGAAGTTTTCTCCTCAAATTAGGCATTGAACTCAGGACACCTACCATGAGGCAGTGTGGGGATGTGTCTCACCTGGTGCCCATGTGGAGGAAGGAGGCAGAACTTGCCCATGGTGGAGCTGAAGCCTCAGCAAGACCATTGTGCCTGGGCACCAGGTCAGTCTCTCTCTCCTGTGCTCACATTACCCCGTCTAGGACTAACTTTGGACTTTGGTGCTAGTGACTAAGCTTCCATAATCATGCTTACTAGGGACTGGTTTATAGGCAGCGTGATCGACACGATTACAGTAACACCTCTGGTTTAGAAAACCCCATCATACAGACAAATAATGTACTGCAG